CCCACTCGCCATACCCACACAATTCTCTACAACAACTGATTTTTTTCTGCTACACCCGGCTAAGCTGCTTCGCTTCTTCTTCTTCTGGTTTACTACTGGTGGTTGGCTTTGGCCGCAGTACCGCCACCTTCTGCTCTGGAGTGTAAACGCTTCGCCTATGAGAAAAAGGAGCAGCGCATGAACCGAACGAAACACACGTGAACCGAACCGAGACAGTCGAACCGAACAGTTTGGACGGTTTTCATAAACCGTTCAATCCCTAGTACTTTAGTATCAGTCCCCCCCTCAAACAGAAATATGTCATGTACATCTGATTTCCACTGATCCTCCTTTAGATAAGGTGAAGCCACATCCGCTAGGTTCAGTTAACTTAAAAGCCATTCAACATTGCCCCACTTTCCTTGATGGGCCCTTGGCTGGTCCCCTACAATTCCTTTTTAAACAACTAAAATATTCTTTCTGTCATGATTTGTGGACATTAAGATCTAAATAGAAGTGTTATTCTCCTGTTCAGACCCTGAAATTCAGTAAAAGGTTGGAGTCAGAGTAAAAAAAGTTCACGCCCATGAGAAGGCCAGGTGCTGGATATTGGAGGGGGTTTTGCTGCCATTCGGCTGGCTTTTGACTGGGAAGGGCCATGTTGAATGGCTGCTACTGTATAAGTTCTTCTAGTTAATAGTGCATATTAGAGGTAAAACAGAGATATGAAGTCAGGAGAAAATCTGAGACTGGATGGGGTCAAAGCAGATATCTCGGAGAGGATACCAAAAAACATTAGCTCCACCAAATGTCTTGAAAAGCACTGTGGGCCTCGTTGATTTTAAATAGGAAAGGTTTTGTGCATCCAAGGCCGTCCCTGGCTTTGATAATCTCCGTTAATCTGAGTAATCTCATGAGGAAAAAAATATTTCAAAGAAGTGACCAAGAATCCAATAGCCACCTTGGTGAGGCTTAATTTTCCATTTTGGAGAGAGAAGGACCATCCAGAAGGTTTGACTTAAGCTACTTCACTTCACCTCTTTGGTGATGGAGAGGGCAGCTTGGAGGGATTCTTACAAAATGCACCCTAGGGATTAGATCAGAAGCAAAAACCATCTGGTCTCATAAAGCTAACTGGAGGAAACGTGGTGAAAAACAGAGTTTCTCCAACAAAACTTTGGAGGGTCCTTTAGAAATCAAATCAGGAGTTCTAAACACAAATAATTATCAAATAACAATGATTCAAAACAAACAGTGCACTGATAAATATGATAATAAAAAGTATTTTGAAAATAATAGTTTTCTTCTTCGGCAATACATTGTATGAGTATGAGTTGGTGGCTACACAGAATCCAAGCCCCACAGATATTGCTCTATAAGACAAAACTTACCCTTAAATGTCTTAAACAATACCCATCAAATAATGACAGCATTTAATCATATTTTAAAATACATTTATATTTTAAAGAACATAATTGTCCACAATTTCCATTTAAGAACAGAAAACCAGCAACCTTCAGTTTCTGGAATTTCCAATAAGAGACTATAGTTATCACAATAAGTTACTTTTTTTACTACACAATCAGTTACATAAATTATTTGTCAATATAAATAAAATAACTGTTTAATCCGGGCTGCCTTTTTTCATTTCACTGAGCCTGATATACAGAAAAGAAAAGGAAAAAAAACCCAGAACACCTGCACCAGACTTTAGAGTCATACCTGAGTCCGCCTTTCCTGAAGAATGTTAAGCCATGGGTCTGAGTACTTGAAGTTTTAAAATTTTTGTTTTTAAAAACATTTAAAGGAAGCAACATATATTTCACCTTCTTGAGCTGAGATACAGCAAAATCGAATTAGAGTGGCATCTTAGAACGACAGATGAGAGCCAGTTTTACCTAAACTCAGATCAAGATTCTCTAAAACTTTTTAAATGATTGCTTTTTTATAAATTAAAAAATACTGTATGTCTGAATTTATGGTTTCAATTATGGTTAGAATTAAACCAGTTAAAATAAATTGAAAAGAGCATTTTAATGGCTCAGTATGATTGAAATTGAAATAAAAGAATAAAATTAAGAGAAAAGAAGAAAAGGATTAAAAGATTATCTTATTGGTTCCTAATCATGATCTGATCTTCATTTAAACAAAGTTTCCCAAAGACTCTTGATGTCTTGATGTTTACTGCCTGATTTTGATGCATTTAATGAACTTGTTATGTCTAAAGCAAGCAGAAAAAGCTGATTTTGGTCACAGGTTCATTTATTTTATATTTAATTTCCTTTCAAAAGCTTTTCTTTTCAAAAGGTTGACAATTATAAAACAATTAACATTTCTATCAGTGCCCTGATTTTTTTAAAATTATTCAAATGTCATGTATAAAGAGATATTGTTTAGAGTTGTGGTATAAATATTGAGGAAGAGGTTTCCAAGGACACATGCTGTTTATATCTGTGAGTCTGCTGTTTGCTATATAGCCCTTTCTCCAAATACTGTTTTGCTCAATGCAGTCATTTTTGGATGCTGTTTTAATTACTGATCTTGTACGTCACATTTTTCTTAATGAGGACTGCCATGATTAGAATTATTTGGCATATGTTCTATTAAACAAGGATTTCTAATTATAAAGTTAAAAGGGAAAAGTATTACTGTTGTCATCTTGTTTGTTTTTTCTTATATTTTTTTTTGCCTCCCAAAGATATCTTTCAATTAAAAAGTTGAAAAGTGAACTCAGACGGTTTGACTTTGCTTTGGCGTCTTGCACGGTCAGCCTTCTGACTAATAGCATGTGTATCTGTACAGCTGGTTGACAGCTTGGGAGTGAAAACATGTTTGGTTTATCTTTAACAGATGCATGTACTCAGGGTCCTTTCTGAGGTGAAGATTTGTGAACGCTGCGTGTCTGTTTACTTATGTGTAAAGCAGAAACGGCAGCGTAGCATGGTGTGTGTGTGTGTGTGTTGGTGTGTTACTCTCGGTGTGAAAGTGTGTAGATTGTGGCTGCTGCTGGCGTGATTCAGCAGTTGCTGGGAAGGAGCTGGGAGGACAGCCCGGTGAATCATCGCCACATCTCCTGGAACTGACTGTTCTCCACTCACACTCTTAATACAGACATCAAAAATACTCAGTTACTTTTTTTTTTCTTTTTTTTCTTTTCTTTTTTTTTACCACAGTGCACATTTAGAGTGATGCTCTGCTCTCACCTATACAGGTCACTAGAAACAAGGTTGCATTAATTTCGACCCCATGTTCAGGTTTAACTGCAGGAAACCAAACAGAGCATTTATTTTTTTATTCACTTGCTCTTCAGTTCAATAAGATCAGTGGCTTTAAATAAGTTTCCCAGAAGCCACAGAACAGACTAGTGAAAGAGTGTGCTGAAGAGATGAGAGGCTATGAGGCAAAACCGAGAGAACTATGTTAGAAATATAATAAAAATATTTCATATACAGTAAATCAGTCTGCACATACAACACATTTTCTTAAACCACAAGGAGTGTGTGCCCAAAACATGTTTAGTGAATTTCTCCTTTGCTTTCTGCATTGCGTGTGTGTTATCAGGATAAATGTGAAACCTTAGTCAAGTAAAATTAACTTTCTGATCCTCTCATGTTTTAGCTAAACTTTTCTGCATCCCTTTTTTTATTTCATTTTTTACTCCTTGTTTGTTAAACTCTTAAAAATAATCAGGCCATTCATCCATCCATTTTCTGTCACATTTATCCCTGCTGGGGTTGCAAAGGATTCTGGTGCATATCTCCAGCTATCAAAGGGTGAGAGGCAGGGTGCAGCCTGGAAAGGGTGGCTAGTCCATCTCAGGGCAACACAGAGACAAATAGGAAAAACAACTATTCACACACACACACACACACACACACACACACACACACACACACACACACACACACACACACACACACACACACACACACCTAAGGGCAATTTAGAGAAGCCAGTTAATCTAACAGTCATGTTTTTGTACTGTGGGAGGAAGCCAGAGTACCTGGAGAGAACCCATGCATGCTCAGGGAGAACATGCAAACTCCATGCAGAAAGACCCCGGGCTGGTAATCGAAACCAGAACCTTCTTGCTGCAAGGCAGTAGTGCTATCCGCTGCCCCACTGTGGAGCACATATTAAACCAGGCTACTTGTTTTATTTATGAACCTGAGCATTTGCATTGTTTCCTTTTGTGTCTAACCTTTAGCATGGCGATTGTGTCCCCTGTCTTGGTGATACTGAATCTTCTAAAAATTGATGAAGTTTTTTTATTTTCTTGACTAAGGCTAACATCTGAAATTGTTTGTTAAAACTCTATAATCATACAAATATTTTCCTCCTATTCTATTCCAGCTTGGCTTCATTCCAGGAAAACTTCATCCAGCTTCCAGAAACAAGAAACGCCAGCACCTGAAGCTGAGACTCTTTCTCTAGACAGCAACAGCTTTGGCAGCAGCCTTCCCGACCAGGGTTATACATCACCTGAAGGTGCTACGGAGGCTGAGGACTCGGGCATTGTTAGTTCCCCCTCTGATACCCAAACCACCTCCCCACATGGGAGTTTATCAGAAATACTGAGTGGAGAAAGAGGAGAGAGAAGAAACTTAAGGGAGGTTTCAAGTGACAGCGAGGAAGAAAATACTACCTGGGCAGAAAACAACAGGTAAAGAAAAAAGTAAAGTCTTGCTTAAAGATTTTCGTTGTGAGGCTGTGTTATCAAATTCTAAGCAAACAATATGGTCTGTTGATAAATACCAAGTGCAAGGCGGCTAGTGGAAGCTAGAGCAAGACAGTCTATACCAAATTAGACAAGTACAACTGAAACACCCCAAAGTGGGCAATGTTAGCATTATTTTATAAATCTTAAAACCATTGCAGTGGGTGGAAAAATGAGGGAAGGAAGTTGCAGAACATCTCTACGCATCGTACATATGCAAACAATAAAAAGTCTTAAATACAAAAAGTGATAACAAATACCTACCAGGAGTAGCTTATACAGTATATACTATATTTTTTTTCCCTACAGAAATGTATTGTACAAAAAATAAATCTAAACGATATAATACATTTACTTTTTGGCATATGTTAGAAAAGGCTTGATCAAGTAATATCACTAAAACAAAGAACAAAAGTCAACAACAAAAGGCATGAAAACAACCGAGGGAGAAACACAGGTAAGTGACCACAATCATCTGTCGAGAGATGATTATCTGTGTGAGTCACTTACCTGGTTAAAAAGTTCGGGTCCATCATAAACAAGGAAGGCAGGATCCAGCCGATGGACTGCCAAACGAGCTTTGGCGCAGAGCCGCCTGGAGTGTCCCTGATGCAGCCACCTCAGTGAGCAGGAAGGAATCCGACCCAGGTCAGGAAAAACAGATCCGGCAGGATCAGGCAGGTTCAGAGTTAAAGCAACAAGCTCAGACAGAAACGCACAGATGCAGACAGGAAGGCTCAGCAGTTGAGAGACAGAGTCAAGACATGGTGCCGGGATTACTGCAGAACTTTAAACTGGTCTCCACCTAGGAGCAAGGCTTACGGGACTTCAAACTGTACTCCCACCTAGGAGCCATGACACGATCAGGAGACAAGACAAACACTCAAAACCTCTCAACCCACTGGCCTCCGGGGACGGGAACCTGAGCTCAGGAATAACTAAAACTGACAAAACAAACAAACATGAATAACTAAGATGATCTGGCCCCAATAGCTGGGCTAAGCCGAATATAAAGCAGAACGAGCAGGTGGATGAGATAAATGATAATTAGGAACCAGGCAGAGTTAGGCAGGTGAATGAAGTGAATAATTAATGTCAATTATCAGGGCAGATCTTGACACCAATATACCTTTTTTTTTACGAATAAAATCAATATTAATATGGGACATCCCTAGTCCCCACCAACTGGCGCTAAATCTCACAAATACCACAAATAATGCTTTGAAAAAAAGAAGGAAAAATAAGTATCTCACAGTTTTCTGGAGTGGTATAGCTGTCACCGAAATAAAGATAGAAGAAGAGGTGTCTGCTGCGGACGTGAAAAAGGTTATTCCTTTAATGACATTGGAGAACAAAAGCAAGAGAAAAACCTAGAGCAGTAATAGTTTTTGCTAAAAATATAAACTCTGTTATTAATATAACAACTGCCAATGATGAATTAAGAGTTCTTGAGCATTGTCAAAGAATTTCCTTGATTTATTTTTTCATTGTAAGTGGTGAATTTTGGCTAACTTGTTTCCAGAATTCTACTGAAGTAAATCCAGCTCCATCATATTGATGACTTGATCTGGGGCCAAAGCTGGCTTGCTCAACTGGACTTTCATGGTTATGGTTTCAGGCTCCTATTCAAAGGTCTTTTCGGAAGGCACATTTCGCTCTAAATGTTTTTTTTTTTTGTTTTTTTTCATCTTGCAGTGCGTATGGTAGCATGCCCAGACCAAGGGTTTTGGAATGATGCTCTCAAACAAAAACAAAAAAAACACCAGAAAGGTTATGAATCCAGGGCCCAGGCTCATGTTGTTGGCCTCTTACTATTCCAGGAAATTATAACACTATTTTCTCTGAATCACTGAAGAACAGAGGGTACGATCCAAGACTCCTTAACAACAGCTGTTTATTTGATTTGGCCCTCATTTTACAATTTGTTACGGCTAATGTGACACTAATTTAGGAAATCGATCATTTGAACCCTTTACAGAAAACTGGAAGAAGCTACTTCAATAAAGTAGTAGGACCTCAGAAATAAAGCAAAGCACCTGTTTTTCTTTCTTCACCCACTGAACTGTTCTTGCTCTTTACATTTTTACAGCTAGGCTAGTGCCTGGAAAGGTGTTGAATATCACAGTAACATAAAGATAAAGCAGTATTTTCTTTGCTTAATGATGCAGCATGTTGTTGTATGACAGAGGTTGAACTCATTCATGTGCATGTTATATATAATTGTATACTTTGTTAGGCACAATCTTCGAGGTCCTAACCCACAACCCCTTAACGGCTTTAAGGACAATTCTGAGCTCACAGTCCAGCTTCATCAGACTTTGGCAGATGCAGGCCTTGCAGATGAGAAGGAGGACATCAGGAAGCTACAGTCCAGTTACAGTAAGAGTTTAAAGCACTTTTATTTGATCAAGTTACAAGGGTGCACTTTAGTATATTATTTTGGTTGCTTGGTTTTAATGGAGTGATCCAAAGTAATTTATCATTTTTTAAATGGGAGGAATATTTGCATGATGTTTAAAAATTTAGCTAATTTTGAAATGCATTAATACTCAGCCACCTTGAATCAAAAACTAGTGTTGCGCCGATGCAATTTTTTGGCCCCGATACCGATACCCGATACCATCTGTTTGAAAATGGTGTGTGTTTTGATATATGAAGATCTACATACTACTTGGGTGTAAAATAATTGCCATCATGGCTTTGTCAAGCTGCTTCCTACCTTTGTGAAGTAGGAAAAAGACTAATACAAAGTAAATCCAGTAGAACTTGCCCACCTGAAATGAGTGACAATAGTTAAATAAACTTTTGGCTCTCAAAATGTATCGCTGTCCTGTTTGTTGGTACTCGCCAATACAGATACCACCATTTTAGTGTTGGATCGGGGTCCCACCCGATACTGCTATCCGATACTGGTATCGGTATCGGTGCAACACTGTCAAAAACTGCAGCTGTTATTAACAGTGGATGCAATGTAACTCACGAAGCTATTCAAATTTAGAGAGAAATCTGTGCCTATAGTTCTTTTTTTGTAAAAGAGCTCAGCTGTACTAGGTGTTGAGTGCATGTGAACTTATTTTTTTTACTTGTGCCCCAGATTTTCTATTTTCACCCAGACATGGACTTGAATGGCCCATTGTAAAATAGGAATCTACTTTGATCAAATTCTTTTATTCCGACTGTAATTTTAAGGTCTTTCTCATGTTTTTAGCTCTTGTAAAGGTTTTGTTCCATTACCCTACAATTAGCTCAATTCACCTTCATAATAAACACTTATTTGCATCCTTGTTCTGAATAAAAGAATAACCACAGGATGATGGTGCCCTGCCATGTTTCACTATGGGAAAACCTAAATGATGTGTTCACTGGGCATGTTGACTCTGGTTATTTGTTAATGTTTTATTACAAACACTGTGAGGGAAATTATAATTTGGTTTTAAGACACAAATCTGATTTATATTCACTATTAACACAACTTCAGAAGTTATATAGGGGCTTTAAAGAAAGGGAGCAGAATACAAAAGCATTTATGAAGTTTTTAGGGTGTAAATATTTTGCAAGAATCAATTTATGTGTTTAATACTGAGCCTAGCAGGTTAGCCAAATCCAGAAATTCTGTTTAAAATAAGGTTTTAAAGTAAATTTGTAGCATTAGCTAATAAAATGTTTAATCTCTTCCTTTTTCAGACCATTCTGACATCACCTCTGTCAGAGAGAGCCCTGATAGGAAGTCTACAGACAGCAGTGAGGTTCCTGTGTCTGTAGTGGACATGGATGTGCCAGTCACTGCCATAGATGAGGTACTGGAGGAATATGAACGGGATTTTGATGAATATGAAGTCAAGTCGTTGACCAAGACCGAGTCGACTAAGAGCGAAGGTAGAAGAAAACAAACAAAAAGACAATGTGCCAGTGTCTAAACCCTACATCAAATGTCTTAACTGTGTTTGATTTACAGGACAAGACTTCAGTCATCACTCTAATGAGGAGAAGCAGAACAAAAATAACAATGCTTATACAGCTGCTTTTGGTTACAAAACAGGTAGTGCTAGTTCAGATCTCCCCAAGGAGTCGAGCGCACCACAGGAGATCAAAACCAAAGGTGTTAAAAAAGAAAAAAAAGCGCATGAAATAAAAATGAAAGAGAAAAGGATTGCTGATACCACCGCTGGGAAAGAGGATACCCAAAGACTGTCTAGGAGAACCAGTGCTGATCTGCAGAAAAGCAGTAAGCCTCCTATAGTCTCAGCTGATCCTGTGAAATACGACACTCATTTCTTTAAGCAGAAAAAATCGGAGCTTCCAGCAAAGATTCAGAGATCAGTTTCTCCTGAAAGGGATGAAGCGATGCAGAAAGTAAACCAGATCAGCTCTGGTTTTAGTCCTTCGCATGGTAAAATCAAACACAATGTCCCGTCACGTTTTGGGATGAAAACTTTCACCGTGGTCCCTCCAAAACCCTCCATTACGTACGTCGCTGAGACACAGCCGGCCGCGAAAGGAAGTAATTTTGCCATTAAAATTGACGATCAAGGGAACATGGTGGGAGCAGGCCTCCCTTACCTGAAATCTACACAGTCGTCTAAATCAGAGATTGAAAACACTAACCCTGTTTGTGAAAATGCCAAAGAATTTTGGACCTCTAACATCAGGCAAGAACATGTGGTGACTCAAAGAAAAAGGTTTGAAAGCACAGATGTCAGCAGCAATGCCTCTGCTGCTTGCCTGGAAGGCAAGTCAAAGACTAGCAACACGGAAAGCCAGAAAACAGCAACAAGCGACGTTGCTAAACTAACAACAGTGGTTCAAACAAAAGTAGAGATGAAAGAAGATCATAAACAAGTCATGAAAGATGCGAGTTTAAACAGAGAGTGCAATGAGGTGGAGAGCAAGATTTCAGGGTCCAACAACGTACAGAGGCCAAGTAACACACCTTCCCTTCCCCCTCCCTTACAGTCAGACAGGAAACAGCAACTGAACTTTGTCAAACCATCCAGGCGGACCTCCAGCCAGTACGTAGCATCTGCCCTAGCTAAATACACGCCCAAAACCTCAGCTAAACCGAGCAGCATCCCAAAAATCACTGACTCGTCTGAGACAACAAGGACAGAGAAGGCTGCAGGTTTCCAGAAATCACTGACTCATTTCCAATCCTCCCAGCTATCTTTGACAGATATTACCGAGAATGACTCTACTGGCACAGTCACTGTTTCCTGTCCTCAGAGGTCCATGAGCTTCCCAGAGTACATGTCAGAAAGTCAAAGAGATTCTGTCGAGGTGAAAATAAACAGGGAGAGATTTAAAAACAACACATTGAAGAAGAAAGAAGGTTTGGATACAGCTGAACAAAAAACAGACAAGAAGAATGACAGTCGTTACAATGGATCCCCCCAAATACACGTAATTAGCAACAGCAGTGATTACGTGAAACACATTCAACGTCAAATCTCCAGCCCAGCAAAAAGCACCTCTCCCCAGCCATCTTTTAAACCACCCATAGCCCCAAAGATCAAACTACAACAACAGATAAGTGTAGGTTTTAATAACAAATACTTCTATCTTGTCAAAAGAAAGTTAATATGTTTCATTAAAAACACATCTTCATTTTGCAGGAAAAGGATGATTTGAAGGAAATTAAACTGGCGTCATCAGCTATAGTGTCAGACAGCACTGACGCGCCTGGGTCTATTGAAGGAGTGACAGTGTTTGGACCCGTTAAAAAGTTCAAACCAGTCATCTGTAGATCTGTTGAGAAAGAGACGTCCCTGCACAGCAGCCTGATGGAGGCAATCCAGACAGGTGGAGGCAAGGAGAGGCTGAGGAAGGTGAGATCCAGCTGACACTTTATTAAGGCCAGAACACACCGGCTGCGTACGACTTTTTCATTTCCTTTTTTTTTTTTTGCATGTCGCACTGACTGCTTACTGGAAGGCAATGACTAGGCAGGGTTGGCAGATCTGCTCAGATTTTTTTTTAACTTCTGTCTTTGATATACACTAATTAAAACAATTTCCCACATTTGACTTAGACAGATTATGAAAAGTTATAAAAAATACAAACGTGCACATTCTTCAACAAAGCCCCACTTAACTAGTCTGTGCAGCAGTTTAAAAAACAGATAGAGAATGTTCATATATTAAAAACTAACGAAAAAGAAAAACACTGCAATAAACGCTGTGGGATGGTTTATAGTATGCTGACTGAGGCAATGAGAGGCAATTCTCCGAGAGAGAGCCAGAACGTTTATCGAAGTTTTTTTGAGAGAGATAGATATGCTGCGCTTACCTGCTCTGTCTTCCCCTTGTTAAATTGGTTTTTTTGGCTCAAAGAGGATCACTATTTTACTATATTACTATATATTATATTATATTATACTATATTACTATTTTACAAATTTTTGTTCTCCTCCTAATTTAATTTAATTTTTTTCCGGGGAGAGTGATAAACTGCGCTTTTTGTACCTCGTTGTTTTTGCAAGGTTCAAAGAAAATCATCATTCCTCCTCAAATCCTGTCATGGGTGAAGTGTTCTATTTTTTTTTATATTTCATTGATTATTTTTGTACAAGTCTGTCCAACTTACTATATATACAATGTGCGACTCCAAACCTGTTTTCCCTGTACGATTAACAGATTTTATTTTGTATTTTCACCCAAAGCAGATGTGTTTTACTTTGTAACCGTGTCTCTCTTCTTGTCAGACCTGTCAAACCCATGATATTTCTGACTCTGGCTGAGATAGACCCCGGCTTTATTTTAAGATAGAGCTGGGGTCTATCTCAGTCGGAGCTGTGCAAGCCCTCTTGCAGAAAATTGTGTCGGGTGCGATCATCCCCATTGACTTTCAATGAACGCTAAACGCCGCAACATCATGTGAAACGATTTTCTGTGAGATTGGACAAAGAATCAGATCCGGTGTGTTCTGGCCTTCAAATGGATGGATACCTGGTTGACAGAAATCCACAGACTGATCACAATGGCAATTATTTAATGATGTTTTTTCTTCATTACTAGATATCCACTACCACCAGTAATGAGAAGAAAATACCATGTGCCGATGAAAGCGATGAAAGATCTGCTCTTCTATCTGCCCTTAGATGTCCAAATGTCAACAGACTGAAAAAGGTAAAACAAGCCGAGGCCGTTTATGCTCTTTCTTTCAGTCTGCCTGCAGACGGCAAAAGAGTGGACTGCTTTTTTAAATCTATACAACTTATGAAACAGAAGATGTTTTGAAGTAACTGTTATATTTAAGAAAAGGAAAGTAAGGCAAAATTTCTTTTTTTCATCTCAGTTTAAAACATATCGTGTTTGTTTGTTTTGATTCTTTTGGAAATGGCATGCTCTGATCAGGAACGCACTCAGTATTCATTTGTAGAGCTTAGTCTAATCTCTCACTGTTTACTGTACATTCTTTTCTGTAAATTGATATTCATTTTGCTCCTAACATTTATCGTTGTGGTTGAAACCTAAAGACAAAGATGTCCCCTTGCTCCAAAACAGCAATGCCTGGTGCATAAGATCATAATCAGTAAGGTATTAGCAAGCCTACTCTGTGTCTACTCTTACCTGCATAGTAGCAGACAGACAGGGAGCAGCTGCATCCTTATTTACTCCCAATGGCAAAATAAAAAGCAACAGATTCAGTCAACAAAATAATGATGAAGTATACCACAGTGCTGCATGTTGAGCAATATGAAAAAGACAATCACGGTTTGAAATGTCTAAGCAAAAAGCGGATGCAGATCTTGCTCAGGAAGCGCCTGACATGATCACAAAAAGCAGAGCTAAGTTTTTAGAGGATTTTAAATGTCAATTGTATAAAAATGCTGTAAATGAGACTCTAAGTTAACGCCTTACATCTGGAGGAGACAAGAACTAAGAGACTTAATCCATCCTTAATGTTTTACGGTAGCAGTAACATTTTGGAAATGCTGACTCCTTGGATTAGAGCTCAAAAGCTTTGGCTTCTAGACAAAAATGACAACAAGAGTAAATTATATATCAAATGTATATGATAGAACTGCTAAAGTGACTGAAATGCAAGAAGATGTCCAGTATAATCAAGTAATCTTAGCTGTCATTCATCTCATGATTTAGCTCCAAAGATAAATAACTGTTGCTTTTTTGTTCACAGACAAAATCTAAGGCTGCCAGTGAGGTTGAGCGGTTCAGGAAAGAGAGCTCAGGGGAGGGGAAAACAGAAACCCCTCCATATTTGACCAGATCTTCACCACTTACTCCACCACCACCTCCACCTATTAGTGCACCTCCACCTGCACCCCCTCCCGTATTTCCCCAGGGTAAAGCTAACACTGTGGGTCATTTAAATGCCAACGCCTCTATGAATCCTGCCCTGGCCAGAGAGGCTCTGCTGGAGGCTATTCGTTCTGGATCTGGTGCTGAGCGATTGAGAAAGGTAATAGATAGTCAAGCTCTGTTACGCTTTAGATTGACACTTTTTAAATTACGTAAAGTAATTTAAAATGTGGAGTACAAATCTGATTAGGAGTACATTTGGATTTATATTTATACAGAATTGTCTTCTTGAAGCCTAAGACGTTAACATTTCTCATTTCGGTAAAAGCTGCATTAATTTGCAGATGTAATAAAAAGGAGCAGCCAGAGAAAAACATGCTGAGTTGAAAGAATGCTTGAGCCCAATTAAAAACGAATGAAACTGGATGCATTTCAGATTTTAAATCAGAAATATTTTCTCAGTATGTGTGAAAAAGTATGTTCAAAGTATTCGTGTTGTCTTTTCTTCTTCAAAGTGTTCATATCAATTCAACTTTTTACTTTACTAAACTAGCACCTCATTGTAAAGTCCCTGGACTATACTGCACGTAATTTAAACATTTGTTTTCTAAAAACGCAAAAAAAAAATTATTAAAAACTGGTGTGCATTCATGTCCAGATTTACCAGATTTGCCTTGTATTTGACTCCCTCCATCCTCCCACTTTGGTACTGTTGACCCACAGAAGCCTTCTACATAATCAAATTTGAAAAAAAAAAAAAATTCAAGAGATATGAATACTTTGAAGGAGCAGTCTAACCCACAGTGTTGTAAATCAAAAGTGACATGTTTTAATTTCCTCAAATAGGTCTCTTCCCCTAAGAAGACTGTCCAAGTGAACGGCAGACTGGGAACCATTCAACATTGAGCTGGAGACACCCAAATCACAGCAACAAGGAATCTAGCAGAAATTTTCATTGCATTATTTAATTTTTTTTCTTTATATATTAAAACATGCTTTTAAAGCGTGCCTGAACTGAATCACTGCATATTCTAGACGAGGTTTTGCACTACAATGGCTAAATAAATTATTTCCTATTTCACGTTCTCTGGTCAGACTGGATAGAACATCTTATGCCTTATGCTTATATCAATCACTTGTAAATTTAAAAAGTAAAGTGGAGATGTTATTTAGCGAATGATTCGCCTGTTTGTAGCATTTGCAGAAGTCGGGGGAAAGGGTCAAAGGTGACACATGTTCAGTTAGAATAGCTACAATATGAGATGGATCAACGTTTTGGAAACTGGTCTCCAGTGTTATACCGTCACAATTTTATCTCGCCATTTCTACTCGCATCCATTCTTGTAGAACATTGTGCAAAATGTGCCAATGAAAGAAAACCTAACGGGACGTAAAACTTTAACTTAATTTTTGTTCTTTTCTCTTTTTTTTGTCTGCCTGAGCGGGCGTAACCTACGGATGCCTTAAACAGCTGCTAAATCAGTGTTATACCGGTGTATGGTGAATGCTTCATAAATTCTAGAATGAGTGCAATAACTGTTTGATGAGGTTTCCTGATTTTGAGTATTTAATATTTTTTCAAATGAAGATTATTTCTATAATATCTTCAGTTTAAGGAACAATGATTAGATATGCAAAGGCTTTTTTTATATGATCCTTACTGCCTCCCTCAACAATTTTAGGATCTGATGTAAAGATCACTAAATATAACCTGCTGGTGCCTGTAAACCTATTTTGTTCATTTGCAAGCATTTTGGTCGGTGTCGCTTTTGTTATGTTCAAGCCTCTTGATTAATTTGTGTTGTTAAAAGAACTCTTGATTTGTGTATATATGTGTTTTTAAGGGCACTATTAATGATTCATCTAGTCATCTTATATTTTAAATCATATGAAGCAGCTGCTCCAGAAAAGCTGCGAATGACCTTGGATTTTAGCTTTATCTTTTTTTTTCCCCTGCGCTCTTCCAAGTGATATTATAGGGAAACCATGACTTCCTATAAACACGATCGTTTATTAATCCTTTATTAATGATCTATCGCCTTAGAATGATGATAGATTCAGGTACAGTTCATTTCTGCTGTATTTTCTAAAGGGAGATAAAGGGGAGAGTTTTATAGAGATTTGTTCAACTCTGGTTTAAATACTGTTAGATGGTTTAATCTAGGATTGTGCATGATGGTGCATTTTCCCTCTTTTTTGTGTAAAATGGAAACATTTTTGTAGATTTGATTTATATCACTAATATAGTTTTTTTTAAGCTGTTGTTTTCTTTCCTGCACAAAGATTCCTTTTTTTTGTCTAAAAGTAAGAACATTTCATAGATTTATACCACTAATGGAGTGAATGTTTTATAAGCTATTGTTTGTTTTCCTTGTTGGGATTTGCACAGCTATTTTTGTTTACCTACATTGTTGATTCAATAAATAATTTTGTAATCAAGAAAAAGAAGTTTCATGAGAGTTTCTTGTGCAAAGAGTAAAACTAAATGAGCTGTCTTCTGTGTTATAAAGCTGCTACAGAATAAATTTGTGTTAGAGCCTTTTTCAGCACATACTGTGTTGTTATGAAATCTAAATTTTTAGCCACACCACAGATGAGCTGCTATTCCGAGCAGCAGCTCATGGCCCTGATTCATCATTCTGCGGTCATACAAAATTACTTTAAAAGAAAAGACCCTGGCTTCCTGATTCCTGGAATGTTAGCCACTGTTCCTACTCCTCTCTGCCAAAATTATTTCTATCAGCTAAATGCTCAAAAATAAGATTTTAATTTCTTTTTTTTAATAGATAAATTTTATCCTTTTTTCTAATCAAAAGTTTTAATGCAAGATTTTTTTTTTGCAATTTGGGAAAGCCCAGATGATGATATCAGGGCTCTGTAAGCTTGAGATAACGGGAGGCATAACTGGATGACCTGAATTTCCCACTGTGGGGAAAATAAAGGTATCTTTATCCATCCATTTTCCGTCACACTTCTCCCTGCTGGGGTTGCGAGGGGTGCTGGTGCTTATCTCCAGCTGTCAATGGGTGAGAGGCGGAGTCCACCCTGGACAGTCTATTGCAGGGCAACACAGAGACACACAGGACAAACAACCATTCACACACAGACACACACCTAAGGAGAATTTAGAGAAGCCAATCAACATAACAATCATGTTTTTGGACTGTGGGAGAAAGCTGGAGTACCCAGAGAGAACCCACTCACGCTCAGGGAGAACATGCAAACTCCAAGCAGAAATACCTCGGGAATTGAACCCAGCCCTGCAAGATAACAGCACTACCCACTGCTCCTCTGTGCAGCCTATGGTGTCTTTATTCTACTCTTAATTTAAGACACCTCCAAAAACTAGTTCATTAAGTGAATTTGGGAAGATCAAAAGTAATCACCCAGGATATCAGATTACTGGATTTCTCCATATTTAAAAATGTGAAATACCAGCAATCTGCTACAGTCGTCTGTTTAAACAATAATTTCCGAGGTCTTTTCTGACTAAATCAGAAGGCCGTCATTAAATCCATCATGGAATGACACATGGAGAAGAGCCATGAGCAGAAAAAAGTCAGAGAAGAGGAGACTGTGATACAAGAACAACATAGAGGTCAAATTAAGGTTTGCAAATGGGCAATATCTTCATTTTAAATTAGTTTAGTGACAATGACTGACTGACATTGCAAACATGAGACTACAACCTCAAATATGGAACAAGGGGTACACCACTAAGTTATGAGGGTGTTTTGAAACAGAAAGTATTGATGCAGCCTAGGTAGAGATGGTGTCATGAAGAGAGAGCGTTTGCTAATATGGAAAAGCCATATTAAAACCATCAGTCAGGAAAAGTAAAGCTTGTGAATAAATAGGGCTCAAAATGGACAATGAATTAAAGCGTGCCATCAAACCATTTACTAAGTGAGTTCATACGTATGCAGTCAATGATTTGGAGAAATATGATGTTCTAGAAGCATAAGAAAAATCTAAGCAAGCTTCAGAAATAAAATGAAAAAAATGTTTCAAGAAATGTAGGAACAATTCCGACGTTTCTCTGGCATTAAGCGAATATAATTTATCCATTAAATCTGTCCGACACAAAATAGTTCAAAGATCAGTCTGATTTAAAGTCATACTGTGAAAATAACAACAGCTTATATTATACATTATATATAAACATCTGAATCCAGCTATGTTAGACGACACACAGTCTATCCTTTAGTGTTTGTATACACAGAGGACACCTTCTGGTTTTGTACTTCTACATTCAGGATCCAAATCTGAAAGTTTCCACTGAGCATGAAATATGAAGCCAATGCTCAGTTATTCTTGATGTGCTTTAAGCCTGAGGAGGAACTTACCTGAGTCCATCCATATAATGTCTAGCCTTTCCAAAATATCTCCTTAGACAACTTTTACATATTTCACTGTGTAGGCCTTAGTGTATTTCTTTTTTAGATTTTAGGCAACAGACCAAGATGCTTTGTAAGAAACAGAATTTACACATTAAAAAGTCAAAAGAGAATCATCATCCTCTTTCCACTTTATAATTATGTACTCTTTTATTTTGGTTGATGACCAAATAATCCAAAGACATATATTTGGGGTTTTAGTGAGAAAAAACATTTCTTCAGAGACGTAATATTTAGTTTCATTCAGTAAGGCTCCCCTTTTGAGTTGACAGAATAAATTTAAAATGAAAAAACCCACAAGAGCTAAATAACCAAACACAAGCTGGTTATTCACCTCTGATGTCATATTTTACAGTAACCGCTCCAAAGTCTTATGCAATGCCTCAAGGCTTGGAGTTATACAAAGACTACAGTTGTAAGATTGAAATGGTGAAATGAGTTTTGACCCCCTGTTGTGCAATTTACACACCCCATGGCAAAACGTGTTTTTATCAAAGATTGTGCTTGTCAGAACACGACTTTCATCAAAACTGGAGCGTGTTCCAAGCCTTGAACATCTGAACTACAGCACAATCATTTCCCTATCACCTCCATTCCCTGTTTCAGTCCTAAAAAGCTATTTAACATCATTTGTAACAAAGTCGTTAATAATCATTTTCACAACTACTACAAAAGATGAATATATGGCAGGGTTCTATGTTAATTCAAGCTTTAACCCTTTACAGGGCAAGTTACCTTTTTTGATCACTTCCACACCCCTTACAAATGAAGTCCCCCCCGCCATCCCTCAGTGAGGTTTAGAAGCACTAGATCTATATCCAGCCATTCAGCAAAGACACTGCTACATGGCTGTACATCTTTTTTTGGCATTCGACCAATTAGATGAGCCCTAGAATGATATATTACCTACTGTAAATTAAGTTGAAAAAAAAGTTAACACTTTAAAAAAAGGGAAAAAGCTAATTGAAAAGTTAAAATGTAAAGTTAAAAAGTTAATAAGCCTACTTAACAATTATATTTAGGTTTATAAACTAAAAATGTGATTGCCAGTGTCAGCAATGATGCCTCTAAAGTTATGTTTTACCAAAAACAAAAAATAAAAAATTTGTTTCTTTTACTCTCAGAGTGTTTTTATTGTTATTTTTCTTAATATATTTGACAAGCTGGTATTGAACCATATTTATATTGTTAAAGCACTTTACAGTACAGTGTTTTATTATTTATCTTTCAATTTATCACTAATATGTTAATTTTATACATTTTTCCAAGGTCCATATTTGTGTTACAGTTTTTTCTATAATCTTTTTACTGCTGTAAACAGAATTTCCCCATTGTGGGACAATAAAGGGATTTTCTATCCTATTCTATTCTACATAAACTACTTTAAAAAATGACAGAAGGGCTCTACAAGAAGCATAGTTAAAAGGAAAAAAATAGACAACAGATGGTGACATTGTCTCACAAAACATTAAAATGGAACCCTAATCAAAACACCAGGGAGCCAGTTTAGTGATTTAAGTTTTTATTTTTAAATTTAGTTTTAACTAGTGTGAATAAACTGAAATAATTTTTTTTGGTGTCATTCAGGTTCTAATGATGTACTTGTTCAAAGCTTAACTTTCATCATAATAATATACAAAGGTAACTATATATGATCAGTATTAAACTTTGACCTTATTTAGACTGCTTGTCTTCCAGCTGAGCTGCTGATCACTGCAGCTCTTCCAGAGTTACCAGTACCAACATGGCCACTCTTCAGATTTTTATCTGTATAAAAGAGAAATCCAAAACCATGTATCTATTTTTCTACAAATTGCTAAAATTAACAACTAAATGAAAACTCACCAAATAAAACATCAGAATTTGTGGTTCAATATAGACAAAACCAACTAATACAAATCAACACGTATGAAAACTTTTCTATGTGTGTTATAGCACTTTTTAAAAATACGAACAAAAAAATAAAAGGTGCAACTTTCTAAACTTGCTATTGGTTATTATTTCATTAAATGTTTTGTTCAAATTTTAATGACAATGAAATACCTAAAAGATATATATATATAAAAAAAAAAGCCACCATCCTAATTTCCTGTGAGACCTGAACGCCTCTTTAATGAAGCATTTCATGTGGGCGCAGTCTGGGAAACAGTGGGCGGAGTTGTTTGTGCTCCTGTATGTTTGGGGTGAGTGTGTCCTCCTCCATAGGCTGCAGGAGATGAGTTTCTGCCACTATTGCTCTCTCTCCTTCCTCCTCCTACTTTCTCCTCCTCCTCCTACCACTGCTCCTGTCTATCTGTCCAGTCTGGGAATGTTGACCAACGTGGCCTGATCCAGTGCTGTAGTGTCCCCCCCTCCCCTACAGACGTTTTTGTCCCACGAGGATCGGAACCGTCCTGATCTGATTTATCTTTAAGGTGAGCGCACCATACCGGACAAACACTTTTATTATGATGTTTGGTGTTTGTTTGTTTTTGTGTGGATGGATGGATGCAGGAAAACAAACGTGAGTAAAAGTTGAATGACACATGCTGTTTTGGGAAGACACGCGCGCACTTTGCGTAAAGGCTCTGCCCGCTTCCTCTGTGACATCAGCCAGCCAGCGGTCATTGAACTTTTAAGCAGGTCGGTTCCTCGGAGAAGCTGTGGTGTCCTCGTCAGTGGGAATCTTCCACTGGAGACTCCTCAGGCTGTCCCGGTGTCTCGAAGCTGCTGGGGATCTCGTGCGCTTTTTCAACTCCTCTTTTCACGCGCCTCTGCTGTGATCCAGTGTTTCTGTGGAAACAAGGTTTCGATTCCAGTTGATTCTTGCATTGTTTATACTTGAGTAGATAGTGACCCATCCAGTGGGGTTGTGGAGAGCCATGCCGCGCGGCCAGACCCCCACCCCACCCCACCCTGCAAAGCTCCCTGCTTCTACATCTCAGTTCTATGGGAGTTTCACTATCCTCCCCTTATCTCTCTTTTAATGTTTAAGCAGCTTTTGCTTCAGGTTTGAGCA